GAAAGGGAGAATTCAGGTCTCTACACATGAAACCAAATTTTAACCTGCAACTATTTAATAGAAAACACATTTCCTCCTTTTCTGCTCTTCACTCAGAGGGCTAAGATGGGAGATGAGTACTGGAAGCTTTCTGTGATAGAGTGATCCCATGCCAGACCTCACCGGGCAGGTGAGTGAGTTGTACACAGAGGAGACAAGAGCCATCGTCACTCCACCAACATCCCGCTCAGCCATAGTTCAGATGAGTGAGCCCAGCCCCAGTTTTGCAGAAAGGAAGGGTATGGCCATCAGCTTTGCAGAAGGATGGCAGGTTTTATTTAGCCTCTCTGTGTGTTGCCTTTGGCCCCACATGCACGCACACATGGGGAGCTGGCTGGCCCCAGTAGACGCCGGTGGTTGCCTGGGACGGATTCACCACTCAGTGTGGCATCTCCCTCTCTTTCCAAACCATGTGCATGAACCAAGTTCAGCTTGCCCACCTTCCTCTGGGACTCCAGATTTCACTTTGCAGCTCAAGTACTGAAGATTAAGGAATGCGTAGACAAACCTATGCTCACAGTGAAAGAAAATAATGAACGATATTCAGGCTTCAGATGAACTGTGTCAGGACTTTTGCACTTGAATGCTCGTTTTAGATTGTGATGCAGGAAACCACAGCAAACCTTTTATATGAGAGTTAGGACCATTGTCTCTCCCCATTGCCTAACTATCTAGAGAGTATCTGGGAAAAACATCTTCCAAAAAGCATACCCTTTCGCATGTGCAGTGATTTCATTATACTTGCTATACTTGTTACTCATCATAATTTGTTAAAACATCATTTACGTTGTAAATGCCAAGAGAGGCAGAGGCAGAAGGAAGAAGAATGGTGGGATCTGATGCTTCTTCCCTAAACCACAGAAGTATCTTAAAACTCTTCTTTCATAAATGAGACTTACCACTTAAAAATCTCCATTTACACAGAGCAGATTATATTGTCACTGCCCAATCTATTTTATTTAATAACTTCCCGTATTGTGTGGTTCTAGACTACACGTCACATGGCACACGTAGCAGATGAGACTGGATATCTTTCTCAAAGATCGTGCACCCTGGGCTGAATTTTTCATTCTTCCTTACAGGGACGCCTTTTATTCCCTCTTTAGCATTTTGAGCATTCACATGTCTAGCACATGAAGTGCTGTTTCAGTCACATGGCTGTGCAAACACACACAGTTCAGCTAGTGCTCTTCTTCACACAGAGAAAAAGAGAAACATGAGATGCAATGGCTGAAATCGGGCAATTCTTTGTCAAAATTTGGACCATCCTTGGAGAAGGAATCTAAAAAGGCCTTTCATTCATGCTGTGAGCATGTTAAGTTGATTTTTAGTTCTTGCTTCCTTTTCAGTTCTGGGAGGCTTTTTTAGCAAAAATATGAGAAGTTCCAGTGTCTAGTTGACATTTATAGAGTACTGTAGTTTCAGAGTGCTGTGTTTCCACATCGTACAAGCTGTTGCTGATCTTTCTCATTGCCAGATGTTGTCCTGCATCACAGGAGTGCTGGCCCACAACTTATTCATGGGGATAGAAAGCCCAAAAGAGATTCAGCAGAATACCCCCATAGTGCTGCTAGTCACACTCGCAAGGGTGAGTTGGATGAGTTTTATACTCAAAGAGCAGTATCCCTATCAGAGAGGCTCAGTATTTTACCCGGAGCCACATAGAAATCTGTGGAAGAGCTGAGAACTGAAAACAGAAGAGCCAAAACCTGCCCTCTTGGTCCTCAGTGTAAGAGCAGCCACCTCAGCTCCGACCAGGGTCAGAAATCCTGGCCTAATGAGCAAATAGTGAAACCTCCAGGTTAGAAGATGATAATAAATAATTTGAATAGTCAAATGTTGCAGTTCTGGAAAGGAATCACAGGAGAACTTCACAACATGGTGTAAGTGGACAGAAAGGTGGCAGATGAGCATCAGCATAGAATAATGTAAAGTAATACACTCAAGGCAAGGTAAGCCAAACAGGGTGCATGTGATGTTAAACTTGGAAGTGATAGTTACCAGGAAATGGATCTCAGAGTCCTGACTGACAGCTCTCTCAAATCATCAGCTCAATGTGCAGTGACTGCCAAAGCACCCAGAAAAGTGTAAGGTATCATGAGGAAGGGTACTGAGAAGACAGCTTTGTTTTGCTACTGAGCAAAACTTTGGCGTGCCCTTACTTCAGTCCCTGGGTGAAGTGCTGGTCTCCAGTGCTTGAGGACGTGTCAGTAGAGATGGCCAGGGGGCTTCCTTACAGGTTGTGCAAGGCAAGAAGTCCTTAAGTCTGTAGCAAAAGAAATGGGCAAGTTGTCTCCTCCAATATGTGGAACACTATGGGGTGTGCTAGGGGATCACAGATGAGCAGAGAGTGCCCAGATTTACTCAGTCCTCCTGATGGAAGATGAAGTAAATTATGGAGATACAGTACTGGGGTAAGTGATTCATCATCTGTCCCATTTCTCATACTCCTACCCTCTACCTGATGGTGGCCAACAGCCAAGACCTAAAGTGAGTGTAAGAATGGAGTGCAGTAGACAGATGTTTCCCAAAATAGCCTCCTGGACATTGAGTGTTTGCAGCTCACAGATTTCCCAACCTGGAGGGGTTGTTTTACTTAGGATAGGATTCTACCGTTTTTTTTTTAAATTAAAAAAAAAAAAAGCAAAGAAGGCTTTGAAGTCAAACTTTTTTATTAGAGGTGACATGCCAACCATGGGTAGGTGCCAACAGCAAGACTTTATTTTGACTGCTGTCTCAGGAGGAAAGCTGGCAGCTGGAATCATAGGGAGGTGTCTCCCAAAGAAGGTGAAGAATTTAGCCAAAGTACTTTCAACAGCCTCTTTGATGCTGGGTGGCTGAGAAAACAGAGTGGTGTTTTCTGTGTGCACTGTGACAAAATATCCTTTAATAATTGTCTTTTGGGTCACATTGGGTTACAGCTTGGACCACCACATTGACCTGACCAGGTTTTGCAGGACACCAGGTTTTGCTTCTGGAAGACACACTAGCACGGGTTGCGTGTATCAGGATGTTTCACAGCTTCTGCTATAATGAAATTTGGGTTTTTTGCCGAGGTAGGAAAATCAACTTCCCTTTAGTCTCTAGGTTGAAGCTAACACTGATCACGCACATAAGGGGCAACTAAGCTTTTAGACTAAATGCAGAAACAGTTCTGTGTTTGTGGAAAACAGATTGAAAAATGAAACTTTTACAAAATGAGAGGATGATTCAAGTTCTGCAGCCATGGCATAAGAAAGACACTAAGGGAAAAAAACCCGAACCAACAAACACATGCATAACATTACTTCCTGCAAAATACGGTACATCCCACCAGCAGGATCTCAGCTCAAAGGCAGGCAATATGCAGCACTATCTTTTTAAGGGTGTTATCCAAAGCCCAGGAAAGTGAGGTGGTTTGAGGGTTTTTTCCCCTCTTTGAGTCAAGTTCTGGCTCAGCTCAGGGGGTCACAGCTCTCCGCATCCTTACATCCTCTGCATCGTTAGCATGAGGCCAGCACCAAGATAACACCTAGGCTTGCAACACACATTTAACTTGGTTAAAGACTATCAGCCTATGCACTCTTGCAGAATTTTCTTCAACAAGCTCCCTACCACTGTAGGGCTTGCTGGAGTTGTTTTACTGGTGTTTTTTGAGGGTTTTTTAATCCTGCAGAGGTTTACGGTGGTGGGTTGAACCAATAAACCAACAACTAAACAAACAAAAAAAAATAACTCCTCTAAAACATCAAATTAAAAAGCACATGCACAATTTTCTTGTTCAAGAGGTTTTAATAAAGACTTATATTCTTAAACCTCTCACACTGTACAACACATTTAAATGTACATCAAGCTCAGATAAAAAATAAAGCTTTCTTACAAAGTAAATTTTTTCCAGTCAATTTTTTTTTGTTTTTTTTTTTTTTTGCAGTAAAAATAGCTGCTACATAAATCCCTCCTGATCGTTGAAAAGGAGTCACAGTTATTTCCAAAAATAGAATTCATATTTTAATCATACAGGATAAACTGCAGGAAGAAGAGACAAGTCAACTGAAAAAATAAGCCTTGTATATAAATTTTTTTAAAAGGACATGCATAGAAGTTGAAAAAACATATGCCATTTATAAAGGAACAGGTAATTTTATCCATATTAACGTTTTCATTTTCAGTTACAGAAGAAACCACAAACAGGCCCTTTGTGTCCCAGAATATAACATTAGTTTCTTGTAAAAATGCCAAAATGCACAAAGAATTGCCAGCTTCAGTCTTGGCAAAATCCTGAGCCAGCCCGCCCGCCCCCCTCCCCCTGCCCCCAATCTCATATCATCGGCATACCATATGCATGCATACTGAGCACTTATGTTGTCTCTCAGGCCAATTAAACATTTGCAGAAAGTCATATATCCTAGACAAACATGAAAAAAACCCACTTTGATAAGTTTACATTCAACCTATTTCAAAACATACATACAATTAGTTTAATTTACACTATACAGTATCTGTTAAATAGGAACATTATAGAGTTTCAAAAAGAATCACAGAATATATACAAACTGAATATTGAAATGGTATGATTCTCCTTCCCTTCTTGAAAGGGCCTTTTTGTTAACAGTTGCTACATCTTGTTTTGGACAGAGAGTGTTTATGTACCTATGCAGCACATCTCTAGAGCAGTAACAATAGTAATAGAACGGGCTTTAGAACAAAAATTAATACCGATTCTCCTTACTGCTATTTAAAATAAATTAGTTGTGTTTTGTTTTAAACAAAACGATATCAGATGTAAGCAAGGACGATGGTATTATAAAATATCCCAGCAGTAGTTCTGCTGCATCACTGGTTTCTCATCCAACCTTTGGTTTTAAAGCCAACCCCTTATTATATGGCAGTGTAAGTAGCCAAGACGCTTTACATGGCAGTACAGGTAGTCAAAATGCTTAACCCGAGAGCATCTGTGTGATTTCCACGTCTTCACGACAGAGCTGGGAGTCTGCACTGACTTCCACGCTGCTTGAGTGTCTGACACGGCAACACCCGAAGCCGTTGATGAAATAAGGCCACTTCCTTCCAGCTCTCTCTGGTTACACACAAAAAAAAATAATCAGTTTTAAAGGTCCTTATTTCCACAACAGTCGCACCCGTCTGAACAGCCAGAAGAACCGACCGCAGACAACTCCCAGACGCAGTCCCAACGCGCGTATCTTCGCCCCTGCAGCACCCACGTCCTCGGGCTCAGTCCTCCGTGTCGGGCTGCACCCCCAGCATGGCGTGCAGCTCCTCCGCCGTGTACCCCAGCAGGTTCTGCAGGTCACACACGAAGCGATACACGTAGCGCTTCCCCGACGTCTTGTGGATGATGTTCTTGTCATAATAGTAGCGTAGGCCTCGGCTGAGCTTCTCGTAGTTCATTTTTGGCTTGTTTTTCCTCCTTCCCCACCTCCGTGCCACCTGTCAATCCAAAAAGAAAGCGAAACACAAAGGGTTTAATCAAGTCACGTCCTTTTAGTCAGTGCCTGTTAAATGCAGTTACCAAAGACCTTTCTCAGTCAGAACATTTCATTTGCTTTGGATGTCCCAAGCTCAGATAAGAGAAGAGTTGGTGACTGACCCCTCAGCTGAACAAACTCTGAGGCAATTACCAACAGCACCTTCAGGAGAAAGTGGCTGATAGTAAATATCAGTGAAAAGGGTGCCTATTTGTAGTGGATGGGCCAAAGCGTGTTTAGGGAGATCAAGTTTATAGGAAATATAGTCTCCTCTCTCTTGAGGACACCATTTAACTGTTAAATTCCTATTGAGCAGCACAGGACAGTTTTTTAAGTGGAAGCTGAAAGATACGAAGTTCCTTGGAGTTAATGATTCTCCTTGCCTTCTTTTTTTTAATTTATTTTATTTTTCGAATAAAGGCTTCAGTGGACTTTGTATCACATTCTCAATATAATATTTTACCTACTGATAGCAGTATCAGAAAATGAAAATGCACTCTGTTTAGTTTTTAATGACTAAAGCTGTAAGTTCCCAAGATATTTCAAAAGCAGCACTACCATTTTGCTGTGTATCTAGAAGAACAGGAATACAAAGAGTGCATTTTCCCCATGTCTTGGTGCAATCCCAGGCATTGTTGATTCAGCTACATCCAGTAAGCTCATCTACAGTATTACACTGTCAGAAGACCTAACTTAGTAATACTACCTTTAAGTTTCAAGTCATATAATGTGTTCACCTAACTACAAGCAAATGCTGGTGGGATGAGAGGGGGAGACATCCCAACAGCAATCCTGACTGCACAATAAAGCTATTGCAGATGAAGAGATTTCAGCAAGTGTCTTACTATGTAAATGCTTTATATCCCAGATCAGGCCCACAAATGGTGGATCAGACCCCAAATCTTTCTGTTCATCACAGTGAGCCACATACCTCATCTGGGTCAGCGAGTTTAAATTCCCATCCATCTCCTGTCCAGCTAATGAATGACTGACAGGACTTGTCAGTCAGTAACTCCAGAAGGAATTGCCATAGCTGTATAGGTCCACTGCCTGTTGAGAGACAAAGTGGGGAGAAACCATAATTAATAATTCTGCAAGCTCTCACCTCAACCAATGTATGTGACCATACTCATATCACAGGATATGACCTTGTAATTACTTTGATTCACCTTTTTTTTTTCTTTTTAATATCAGAAAGAAACCTCACATTTTTCACAACACAAACCTGCTCTTAAACATGTTAAAACCAAAACCAGTCAGCCTTTTCATGGGGGCACAGCATTTGGCACTAGCTACATCTTTCCCTTTCATATGGATCCCCAGACCTCACTCCCCACCTGCCATCAGCTGCATTTCAAGCTCCAGGGCTTGTCCTGCAGTCCTTGGCTTGACAAACATTCTAGAGAAAGAACTGATTTCAGCAAGGACTACAGGAACAAGATCTTAACAGGCAAGCCAGCACCTGCAGGAGCTCCCAAGTATGGAAGATTTTGTCAAAGATACCCTCTTTTTTAAACAGATCAAAAAGTGCATTTGATTTTCAAGTGTTCTCATGCACCTGTCCTTGCTTTAGATGGATAGCCCTATGAGACTTCCTTTAGTGACATTCAAAATTTAAACTCTTCCTGAGTAGTAGTCTCTATGTTATAATGCATACCTTATAACTATACAACTTTATCACCATGCTACATGTTTATAGAGAATATTGATGTTACATAAGAAGAGGAGTGACCATTTTGCTTCACTACTTACCAGTAAAGCCAGCTAGAATTGCTGCCGGTATAACTGGTTTCCCTTGCTCTACAGGATCACTTCGTTCTTGAATATAGTCTTTGAAAGACATTGTAGGTTTGCTCAGACACAAGGACTGGCTACAGTCATCTTCAAAACTTTCATAGGACGGCACACGCTGTAAATCCACTAATGACGACTGGCTGTTCCAGGATTGGAGCATCGAATCTGAACTTTCGTAACTTTCTGCACCACTGTCGCTAGATTCATGTTCTCTAAGCTTACCTTTATAAAACAAAAAATAGAGATAAGTGTACGCTCTTTTTTTTTAATCCCCCTCAACCCATCTTGTATACATAAATTATATAAAGGAGGAAAAGACATACAGAACATGCAGATAATGACTCACCAGAATTATCTATTAGCAAGTTCAGATTGCTTCTGGGGAAATCTTGATTTACTGCACAGTAGTTCACGCCAACAGCATCTGCCTGAGTTTTAGGGAACAAGGAAAACTCTTGTTCTGGATTGAGGAGATTTGGTCCTGTGGAAGTCTGACAGACATCAGTCAGAAGACTGGGTTTGGGATAACCAAGGGCTTTAGGGTATCCAGGCATTTGCATACCATAGGAGTTCTGATCTACATTAACACCTGTAGAAAGTAGTAAGAAAATTTATTAGACCATCTTCCTTGCAGATCCTTAGACTAACACACATCCAGCACCTCACTACAGTTGTGCCAACAAGAAGTAATTTTTCCGTGAAAATCTAAGACAGTGACAGAACCTACAGACCTACTGGAAAGGCTACTGAAGTTGGTGAGAAGATCCCCATTGAATGGGCTCCAAATCAGATTCTGTAAATCTCCCTCTGTAACTTGCCAATGACAAAAATGTCTATTGTTTGTTCTTCATGGAAACTACAGGGCTACAGAAGAAATTGGAGAAACTCAAGTTCTGATTTTGAGTGAGAAACTCAAGTTCTGATTTTGAGTAACGCCCTCATCATTAAGTGGTGTAGTAAGGCTGAGCTGCAGACTGACTGTCGTAGCATGAAATACAACATTAATCAAACAATCTGAGGGAGCTCACGCTGCATCCCACACACTTTCAAAAGCTCTATTATGTTTCCAATATCTTTAAAAAGGCCTAAACATAAGTCTTGCTGCTTGCCAGTGATGCTAGTTTTTGCCTTGGTTTGCTAGACATGGGAGTGGTCACTGCTCCACAGATGGAGGCTGAGAATGAGGAAATCTAATTTTGTCAAAGCCTTTCCTCTTCAAAAGATTTCTGATATGAATTAGATGACAAGCAGTAATACTAAAGAAGGCTGTAGCAATTGCAGTCAAGTGTTCTCTTCAAGCACAGTAACTATTCTGGTGCTTTTTTTTTTGTTTTAAAATGGAATTTTTGACATGCTTAGAAGAAACTACGAGGCGTAAAATGTCAAATTTCTTAAAATACTTACTTAAGGAATTATTATTCACCCACTGAGGAACTGAGGTGAGATGAGAGTTTTCTACATATTGATCCTGCGTTTTCTCTTGGCTATCTGGGGAGGAAACAAAAAAAAAAAATAAAAAAATCCAGTTTTATAGTTTTAAAGATCTGCCCCGTATGCCATGGAAAGATTCTGGCTCTCTCGAGTATCATTCACATAAATTTTACTAACATGCTTCATTGTATTCTCTCCCTTGGAAACAAGCAAACAAACAAAAAAACAGCCAACCACACCACACACCAACTTCCAGTAGGCTTGAAAAATATCGTAACAATTGAATTTTACCATTAAACTTAGATACAACAATAACTGCAATGTTTTAAATGCCCAAGTCCTTAATGTATGCAACTACTAAATGTTACACTCAAACCCAATGAAATTCACAGGGCACTGCATGTCAGCTGCATGAACACCACTGGTGTTCATCTAAGACACCTCCAGGTGTCTGACTCATTTGCACTCACTCACAGAATTATCTCAAAACACTATGTTAAAGGAACAAAACTGAAGAGTTGTAATATGAAGTGAACAAGTTTCATCCAATGTGTTATTTTTTTTAAATGGGGTATTACACTAGCTTTATCCTAAACACATTTCTGTAATTAATAATAATCATTATTTCAACGATTATTCCAAATAAAATCTGACTACAGTAACTACTCAGCTTGAACAAGGAATGATTTCTGCAGATATCTGCATCTGTGCTTTGAGTACTATGGATGTATTAATAGATATGATAATGCTTTTATTTTGAGTTTTCACATGCAATAAAGACTCTGCATTGTGGGGGAAAAAAAAAACAGGTGTTGAAAGTCTCGTTTCTGTCAGAAAAGCCTTAAAATGAAAGCTCTTTCTGGCTCTGTATCTACCTTTTATCATCTGTTCCAGGTGTTCCCACAGAATGTCACCCACATAGTCAGGTGCCAGTTCCAGGAAACGCTCCTTGCCCAGGTTGCATAAGTCTTGTCCACTCATAAGAAACTGATGGAAGTTCACATTTGCCAAACTAAACTCATTGGTAGCCCAGGAAAGCCACTGACAAACTTGCTGTTCAGTCCACAGCCAGGGATCTGCAAGACAGAAAGTATCTAGCATTGAGAGATAACTCATGACCTTTGTCAAATAATCTTAACTAGAAGGCAGTGAATGAAAAAAAATATAATTGTTTACCCAAATTACTTACTTCTGAATGAATTCAGAAAGAATGTATTCTTGAATAAATTAAAAAAAAAAAAACAAAACCCACCAGCAAATAGAGAGTCCTCTATTTTCCTTCTGCATTCACTTGTAATGTCCTCAGCTTACTTGACTCTCTCTTATGCTGCCAAAGCATGAGCTCTCCATGCACCCATTTTTAATACCAGCAAATCTGGTCTTTCCAAGTCAAGCTGTGCCAGATTCACATAGGATCCATTCTTGTATTTCCTACTGACATCATTCTTTCTCTTTTGAAAGAGCCGCTATTCAGCCTCCTCCTTAGCATTAAAAAAAAAAGGGCTTATAAATAGAAAACACTTACTATTTGGGATACCCAGCCGACACTGTTCTTTTGTGAAACCACTGAAAGTATCTTTCAAGGCCTGACTCATCACAGCCTTACTGCACGGGGTTAACAGAGGCAATTCACAGTTGTTCGACTCTACAAGAAAGAAAAGGGGTGGAGGGGAAAAAAGAAGATACATTAACTTTTGGAGCAATGAAAGGAGTGACAGGATTTTGCTGTGCTATTTGAAGACTAAGAAGAGGATGCTAGAAATAAAGTATTTTAAAAACAGGAGCAAACAGCGTAAAGCCATCTTCTGACATATTAAGTCAAAGACTTAATATATCACCACGAAAATATCTGTGATAGTGGTTTGATAAAAATGCATCACATAAAGCTTTGCAGCTTTCCATGATATAAATCTTCATTTACTCTTAGTAGTTACATAAAGTGCCTTTGCTGCAGGGCAACTCTACTTTTTTTTTTTTTTTAAGGAAATATGAGACTGCTTATTCCTGTTTTGTCACCTATAGTCTGACCTCAGATTTACAACTCCAGACAGTCTTCATTTAGCTTGAGTAACTGATATTAGGATTGTGAAGAAGCAGCTTGAACTATTCAACACTGGTTTCCAATGGACTGTATTTCAGACCTTCCCATGCACCTCAGTCCACACATGGCACAATAGATTATTCTATTATTTGAACCAAACAAGTGTGACTGGCAACAGGCCGATACCCAGCGCGTAAATAATGCAACAAAATCCAAAATCAGTACCAGTATAAATTACTGATCTGTTTAACTGGTTTTTAAATTTGCAAGTAGATTCTATTTTAAGGAAAAATTTGGCTTCCACTCAGTTTTTCTTACTGGGCAATTTTCACCAGAAGATTTTTCACTCTGAAAGAAAAACTTCTAAGTTGAAGAAAGCCAACCACACTGCCTAGACGCTTCAGATTAAGAAACTTTTTTTTTTTACTGGTATTTTCGTTGTGACTGGTGCCATTAAGCTAGGGGTAATTCAACGACGACTTAACCAGCTCACATCCCTGAACATCTGAGAGCCTCCGAGAGCTCACACACAGGCTGCACGTGACGGAGCTCTACTGTATTAGAGGCACATAACGGTGGCAGGGTACAGAAAGATGATGAACTTGGCAGACTCCAAGTCAGTTCATTAAAGTGTGCGGCTCTTCTTGTTCTCCAGGACTATCTACAGGCTTCACGTGACCCAGCAACTGGTGCTCATTACCAGCCCACGCTTAACTTCTGTTTTTACCACACCCACCCTCAATATCTGCTAGGACCTGTTTTGCTGACCAGAGTGGGTGAATGATTAGAATCACACTAGAACAAAAGGACTGGTGGTTTTCAGAGGTTTGAGGGTTTTAATTTTTTTTAACTCCCTTCCCCAAGGGGAGATAAAGGCAGAATCAGGGAAAATATCTATGTTTCAGAAAAAACTCCCTGTTTTGTCAGGAGTTTTAGGCAAAGATTTGCAGAGAACTCTTTGTTCTATACTCTTTTTGCTATACACTTTTTTTAAAAAAATAACAATCTATAAAAATCCCCACCTCTGTTTTTTAAGGTATGGAGTAAAATACACTTGCATTTAACACCAGGGGGTCAAGAAAGGAGCTTGCAGAACACCCGCATTTCAGTCATGGTTGAGATGTTGCAAACACCTGCATTTAAATCATGGTTGAGATGTTGCAAGTTTAAATACACATAAACCCTTAAATTTTAAAATGTTTAAACTCTCTTAGCTCTGCTTTAATATCTGCTAAGGCTTCTTCCATGGACAGAGAGTCTATTAGATTAATGAATCCCAGTTCCCATTCCTTTTCAGTGCAGAGAACAGGAAGTATCCATAGAGCAACTCACATGGATGAAATCAAGCACATACAAAACACTTTTTTTTTTTTAAGGGAAATCCACATTGTACTTGTAAGAGTATAGCCATGAAATGCTAGTTAGACCCCACAGGTTTCCTTCTGATCTGCTGACCACACTAAGGAACAAAGTGAAGACTTACCATAAGAAGTAGAATCAAATCCTGTTGGCACTTCTTGAAGTGTTTGATCTTCATTTAGTGAGAAAAAATATCCAGCAAAGAGAGAGTTTGAGCTATCGAAGGTGTCAAATGCTGGCTGACGCTGAAAAACAACAGAACAAATAAAACCCAAAGTGAGCATTTTGCCAGAGCACTGTCAACTTCATTGCTAGGAAGTGGCTGGGTTAGGTTTCCTAGATTTGGAGATAATGCATAACCATGATCTTGAATCAGCCAACTTGGGCCTGTGAAATATAAACACAATGACAGCATAGCTTCTGGCACACAGATACAAAACGAATAACATTCAGACCATAGTGCTAGGTGGGTGGCACGTTCTGCAGGTTACAGTAAAGCCAAGTAAAGATATTTTTAGTTTTCCTGTAATTGAGGCTTTTAATAATAGAGAATGCGTGTCCCTGTGTATTTATTTACAGGTATATTTGAGGAATCCTTATTTCCTTAACCCTTTAAATTCACTATCCACTTGATGAGTACTTGATAGGAGAGAGAGGATCAGTAAATTATGGAAAACCAACTGCCACTGCAAGACCTACAGTAGATTTACACAGCTTTTTTTTCTTATTAACAAAAAAAAAAAAATGAAAAATTTAATCTGAAGCACATCACTTGAAGCTATATAGCCAGCTTTACAGGACTTGAGGAAAGATGTTACTCCTTTTCTACGACTTTCATACTCCTCAGTTACTGGACTTGCCAGCACATTGTGCAGCCTTTCAAGTGCTCAGATGCTCAGTGAAACACTGATAGTTTCATTATACAGAAAGGGATAAACAAGACTATAAAAATGTTCCAGATAAAAGTGGATTCTACTGACATAATGGCAAAATTCAGTAAATACTCTTATATTTTGAACACCTAACTTCTTTCAAACTTGACTTGTGTCAACTGCTAGAATGCTAGAAATGCTAGTCATCATCATGGCTAGGCTTCGTGAACGAAGATATGGGAAGGGCTCTACCTACACTTGCTAGAAGCGCACTGATGGCTAAAAAGGCTGATGTGGGATAGGCAAGCCCGGTTGCAAAAGGCACACTGGAAAGTCTCCTTAGTCAGTATTGGCGAGGCACAGTTCTTTCTGCGTTGTCTTGTCTCCTTGAGGCTACGCGCATTCTCAAAGGAGGCAGCAGCGTTATGGATGGTGTGTCTCCACATGTCCTGAGTGGAGGCCAGAGGGGACCACTCACGGTAGTCAATATGGCCAAAACTGAGGTATGAAATGCTAGTACTTCTACTAGATCACTCCAGGCACATTAGTCTTCAGGGGGTAGAGGGAATGTTAACAGAGGAGGATATAGTGTTAAAAATAACATATGCAACTTCTCTGTTAGTCACAAGGAAACTGTATCTGCAATATATAGAGCCATGGATGGGTAAAAGTTGCCACTGGGATTTTTAAAAACACCTGAGGATAGAACATTTTTCTGGAAAGCCACAGCTTGCTCATGACAGCTACTGCAGTTAAGGGAGCTGTCGAAAAAGGCAACTTGCAAATTCTTATTTGTTTGGGGCATGCACTGGCCTGCCAGCTTATGTCAAGGTAGAGAATTTTCGTGTGAGAAACAAAAGCAACCTGAACAACGTTTCTGGAATAGCATGCAAGTATTAATATTTCCTCACATTCTCTTAACTTTCCTTTTTACATCACCACAATGTTTCCAGTGGCTTGAGATCCATTTGCACCAGGTGCCTTTTATGTGCCATATGTCATCCCCCTCCCCAAATTACATTAACTCTAGTAAGAAATAAGGAACCATAATTTTTAAATTATATTTTACAACAAGCTGCAACGCAGTCTGATACACACATCATGAAAACATGAACTCAGAAGAAGAAAAAGCGGCTAAAGTAAACAATATCATGCCTGTTAACCGAGTGCAGCAGTCTCCACTGACCACTGGCCAGCAAAGACAAATTGTGTACAGTTGGTTGAGGTATCCCCCTCCCCTGTCCAACTAGAGTCAAAGTCAACCCATGAAAAGGCTCACATCCAAATGAAATAAGTTAATAAGACTTGCCAAATCTGCTAGTAAAAGATTCTTTATATATTACTAGATAAAAGCACTGACTCATCGCTAGCACCTAAAAGAAAGGGCAAGTTCTTTCAACACAATCTGGAAACTCCTGCATTTTGTGTAAATAGCTGACCCTTACCCTGAGTCACTGGAAAAAATGCTGTGGCATGTGGATGAGTAAAATCCATACTGTGCTAGTTTCATTATTTGAAAAAGGAGAAAATTAATGTTTAAGCAGGTTCTTGATTTATTAGTAGTAAAAGGGGAGACATTCTTCAAAGTTAGTAAGAGCAGAAAGTGTCTTCCAAACCTTTATTTGGCTTACATTAATCAACATTGTGTAAAAAACTGATAGTGGGATTAAAAGGCAACTTGCATGGATGGGGAGGAGGGAAGCCTGCAAAGACTGAGTTTTTATATGCTTCTCATTTGTCCTCGGTTTCTAAGTTCCTTTCAAAACAAAAGACACAGTCTATTTAAAGATAAAATGTATTTAATAACTGCCTTTGGTTTCTTACAATGTATTGGACTTCCATTTCACATCGTTGCATATTGTATGTGAAGAGCCTATTTTTTTTCTGTTTCTTTTTTTTTCCCCATACAATGCTCTTGAATGAATCAGACCTAGCCAGTCACATCAGAACAGCCCTCTCATGGTCTCATCAAGTTAAAGATCTAAAGACCATCTCTACTATCGGTTCTGTAAGCTTTTTTTAGGCAAATGTTCCACCAAGTCCAATGAATCCGAGCTCAGTTCTTGTTTACCTCTTACTTTCAAATTCTTAGGATTTGGAGGAGGGAGGCTCCTTGGAGAGAGAGGGATAGAGATGCAAAATTTACATCTTCCTGTTTCAGTTCTACTTTTCACATCTCTGCTGAACTCAGTGGGAATACTCTAAAAGAAGATTAGAGGCTACAAGCAGGCAATTAAATCCTGAATGTCTGTGTTCGCCATGGCATGGGTATACAATTCCTGTGCTAGCATTAATAAGAACACAATAAATGCATGAGCAGGGAGATGCCCCAGTTGGGTTTAGAAAGCAACAGCTCAAGAGTACTCACCTTCAGCATTCCTCTGTACATGTTAGACACAGGAGCTACTTGATCCATGTTCCTGATCCCAAAATCACTCATCTGAAAAGTGAGAGAGGCCACATGAAAAATGTTGCTACCAAGGACGCAAGCATGTGAACACATAAACCTACTGCTTCAGTACAGGCAATAAGAACAGCTCCCAGACCAAGACCTTACTCTGTTAGTCTGAAAAGACTACAGAAGTCCTTTGTCCACCAAGTATCTATCACTTTCAGATATTTTCTAACTTCCACCCATTTTCTTAAACATTCAGTTCTGTGTTATTTTTGTTCAGGATACTCCTGCTCACATGCTGTGATTCACTTTGGACTTCGGCTTTCAAAGGGCGGAAGAGAAGCAACAAAGTGCTCACCGCGACACACCTCCACGAACTAACATTCACCCCTTTCACCCTTTTATGATTAATCACTGAAGCCAATACCCCGTATTAGCAACCCGCTTCCTTTGCTAGGCAAAGCATCTCCAAACCACGTTATCTTGCACATTGTGTAAACATGGGATAAGCACATTTATACAGCTTTTGAGGGCCTAAGTTTCAATTGAAAAGGGTTTATGCAGTAATATATCCCTTTTTAAAAGAGTTAGTAATGGGACTACTATCAATATGTTCATTCTATTGAAGTCAAAGCTAAATCCTGCTGCCTGTATCACCAGGAATAGGGATGTGTGAGGCCTGTATAACTTGTTCTTCTATATATCACTTATGGAAAAGAGTGATAAGATTCTTATCCTTTTACTGACCTATGGGAGAGATCAAACGTAAGGAATAAAGCCAGGCTTATGGCCATTGTTCAGGTTTATTGTGATGCTGTAATTCAGGTGTCAGTGAACGATACCTTATCAGATTACATTGCAGCAAGTTTTCCCTCAACAATTTTCCTTCTTTTTCACAGTATTAGCCTAAATTTTCTTGGTCTACTGTCTGAAAATATGCATTTGGATTTAAAGAGTCACATAGGAAACTATTAATATCTCCACAGATACAACAAGCAAGTTCTCTTATTGGCCAGTTAACACAAGGAGAAATCAAAATACAGTCTTAAACCCAGCAAAATACGGCAAATTAGGAGCTTAACAAAGTAAGTCCACCTTGTTAAAACGACAACACATTCAAAAGCCATCCATATAAGCAAAGAGGAAAATAAAAACATCCAGCAGCCAAAGACAAGGAACTCTTTCATCCTCTTACACAGTCAATCACTTAAAAAATCAAGAGTCCTTAACCTGAAAGGCCCATTTCAACTTCACTGTTATCAGATGTACGTGGCTTATCATTGAAATAAAATAAATCAACTGACTACAAAAGGAATATCTGACTTACATTTCATCAATGTTACCCAAAAGGGCAATCTACAGAATGACAGTTTTTACCTCAAATAGCACACACAAATATTTGATCTAAATTACACATCTCATTGAGCAGCAAAGAATTTTACACAGCATGAGTCTCACTCAGCAAGCATCCTAATCTTTTAATTAAATTTGCCACAGTTTAAACAACTGTTTACCTTCGCATTCTGCTGGGCTTTTAAAAAAAGTATATAGCAATTTCTAACACTCTGATTTGCCTTTGAAACACGCTAGGGATAACTAGCTGCAAGTCTTACCAGTGGGAAAGTATTTGTGAAAACATACATATTTTCAGAAAGTCTGGATCTGATGCCCAGTTAGGACTACAAATAAGATTTTTGATGCTTCCAGGTGCAATGCTGGCCTCCACACAAATCCTGTTAGGAACTGCCTAAAAGGGCTGAGATTCTCTCCTCCCTGCATTTTTTTTGTTTCTTTAGGAATGTTTAGAGTGCTAAGGCAAAAGGTTTATACCGAGTCTTCATTACAGGGCATTGCTCATTAACCCAAGTCACCGTTTCTCTACACTAGGCTGCTCATTTGTTCTGTGGCCTTGCCTGTGCACTACCAGCTCACAACAAACTACACGTTGAGCTCGGTCTAACAACACATGTAGATCATTGCATGCTTTCTAACACTCCAACCAAATTTCTTGTGTCGTTATGAAATTTTACAGCCTTTTCTTGCCGTGCATCAGTTTTTTCCCCACCTGCGGGTCAAGTTTCCAGCCCGTATCGCAGGACAAGAGGAGCTGAAAAGTCAATATGGCTTTTCATGACACAAGGGGTTAAAGCTGGCTTTCTGTTGGACTTAGAAAGATGCTGTTTAAGTTCAGAAAAGGATCCTATGGCTGGGCACGGTGTGACTGGGCCTCACTTCCAACTCCTCTACTAACACTGATGACTGCTACTTGCCAGCTATAATTGGTTTAACTGGCAGGACACCTTCTTCAACACCCCCGCATAGCTGAGTGGGTGAACCAGAACAGGGTCAACAGGATCAGGCACTTATTAACTAATACTCCTGAATTCTGATCGACTTCTTTTCAGCAATAGCCAGGTGCTCGCTCACAGCTGGATTCAGCTGGGAATCGCCCACAAGCAGAACTAAACCATGCTAGAGCTCGCAACAGATTTCCACTGCTTTTTCTTTCATAATTTGTTTTTTTAAGTAGCATATTCAGGATGACCAAAAAAAAAACTTAAAACAAATTTTAAAAAAAGATCTTGTAGCAATCGGTTAAGAGACAACTGCCTGCCTCAAGAGCACTGATCCCCCCTCTCCGGCTGCAGCTCCTGGGTTCCCCGAGCATCCACGAGAGAGAGAGCCGGGATGACTTTTCACACACATGACACAGTCGCCCACATAAAAGTTTGATGGGGAGATCACACAGCCCAACATTAATTAGTTTTTTTTTTTAAGTCCCTTTAAAGTACTAACCA